TCCTAGAGGTCCTTTGATCCAATTCCCTGCTCAGCGCAGCATACAACTACAGCCTTTCTGACAGATGGTTATGCAGCCTCTGCTTAAATAAGGCCAGTGAAGGCCAGCCCACTGCATCCTGAAGCTAAAGCACTGTCCTCATATACCCAGCTATAAACAAAGGTTCTCCTGGTGCTTATTGCAGTACAGCTTGGGGGAGCAGCCTCCTTCCACAGACTTTTAGGGTGATTTTCCCATTCTGGACATGCGCAAGGGGGCTACACAGGCTTCACATTGTAAGATAGATTCTTCATTCTCCACTAAGGCCACCTTTGGGTCAAAGGTTCTTGGTCAGCTGAGCTTTGGTCCGCAGGCAGCCTGTCCTGCAGAGAGATAGATAACTGTTATGCAACCTTTAGAAGACACCTGAAGGTGGCCCTGTATTAGGAAGTTTTTGATGTTTAATGTTTTACTATGTTTTTATCTATGTTGGAAGCCACCCAGAGTGGCTGGGGCAACCCAGTCATATGGGTGGGATATAATAATAATAATAATAATAATAATAATAATAATAATGACATCCCTATTTTAACTGAAGAAATGTTGGAGGGTATGATGTAAACAGTTGGTCCAGGCAATATAGGTTTGGGTAGCATTATGTACACATTAGCTCCAAGTAACCACCTTGCTGTTCTGCTGGTGTTGCTTTTTGGAGCTTTAAGTCACAAACCCTTTTATTCTTTGACTGCCATTTTTATTCTGAACAGAAATAAGTTTATTTGAACTTATTTATTTGAAATGGGGACTCGCTAATTCTGGCTAATTCCCTTAAGTAATTTAAGTAACTGAAGTACCACACAAAGTCCCCAGGTAGATGCTTTGAACTCCAGATCGAAGGTCTCAAATACCAAAACCTTCGTGGTCTGCCTTCTATGTAACACAAATGATGCTCATTTCCTAGAATTAGGACTTAACATGGGCGACCTCCATGGCACAGCCTGTAAGATTTGGGGGGGGGGGGGAACTGACTTACCAATGTCCTGCTGCCAAAGGCCCACAAAGACTTGGAGACAGCTTTGTATGATCATTAAATGTTCCTCATCCTAAATTAATGGGGCTTCAAAATACCTAACTTTAAATGGATCATGCCTTAGGGCTTTATGCCAAAATCAATCCATTACTCTGTCAAATGACTTTTTCTGCAGGACTCCAAACGTTTTTCAAACATCATTACTTGTTCTGCCTGAAAATTGTCTTGAGGCGGTGATAGAATTTTTTTTGCACATTAGCTTTTTTCCTATTGTAGTCAAACTCCTATCATCCCACACCCAAATAAATACTAACTTTGCCCCCCCCCCAAGCCCTCCTCTCTCCTTCTCTTGCAATTTAGCACATCAAACCCTGTGCTTCACTTAATGACAACTCCCTACTTTCCAAAACAGTCTTCAAATTTTGGCTTGAGACGGTGAGAGGCTTTCAGTCAGTGTGTCTCCAGTGCCATCTCCTGGGCAGAACCAGAACTGTAAGGCTTGAGCAGAAACAAGTTTGACAGAATGGGCAAGACATCTATTTTGATGCAGGTAGCCACAGTTCTATAAATCCTCTGCAGGACCAACTGAACTTAGGCAGCCTAATAAAGAGTACATTACATTTATGCAACCAGATGTAACTAAGGAGTGAATCCAAGAATTTGCTTAGCAGGCTGCTAAAGCAAAGGAAGTATCTATAATTCTACCAGGTCATATACTTTGTGTTCCATAAATGTATGGCAAAAATATTTGATAAAAATCTAGTCTTAATCTATGCCCCTGGTGTTGTCAAAGTGTTACCTTGGAAATGGGGAGAGGGGGCGAGGCGGTGAGAAAAAATGGCCTAAGACCGCCATATGCAATCACGGAAAATGTGAGATTTCAGACCAGCAACAGCCTCACATAGCAGAACTCATTCACTGAGTCACCCCACTACAAAAGCACTTAGTGCACTTACCTCATGGTTTTGCTTATTCCCAATCAATTTAGGGCACTGTAGGGCGGGGGGTGGGGTGGGGAAGGACCCTGTTTTGGGAAGTAACTTTGTCTCCAGGAGCTGAATAGTTTTGCTTTTCCTCAGCTGCACAGATAGAATGGGGCTGCAAATTTGTCCGGATTTTCACTATTGGGAATATGGCAACCCTAAGATAGAAGGGTATATCCGCATTAAATCTTGAGCTCAGATCTTTAGGGAACATGTCTAACTGCTGTTTCTGGTTTCTTCACTAGGTGGGGAGACATACGGTAATTGCCATTTATGGAAGAGTCCAGAGTCCTTCCACTAGTCTCTTGCAGCAACAACAAAAAGTTTGGGGGCACCTTAAAAAGACTCAACACTCTGAGTACAGAATTAGCATTCATCTACCACACAGACCATGAAGTCAGAAAGAAATGAAATTCAAAAAACAGAAGGCTGGTGCCCGGTCTTGAGCTCCTGAAGTTTCCCAGGATGGCACAAGATGGCAGCATTTCCTTACTCCAAAGGCAGTGAAGGGTGGGGAGCAAAGGTGGCAGGCAGCTAAATCAGGGTTGCCTACACTATAATACAGGGCCAGATTTAGGTTTGATGAGGCCCTAAGCTACTGAAGGTAATGGGGCCCTATATATGTCCAGCTGTCCTTTGTCAACAACAAATTGTCGCTGTTTTTTGTGTTGAATATATGCTATATGGTAATTTATGGACCTAACAGGTATCTAAAGCCATTTGCACATAACAAAATATGTATTTTATCAAAGTAATTGTTGAACTGAAATACAATTAAGAAGAAATATATTAATAGTGAAATGTAATTAAGAAGAAGTATATTAATAGTGAAATAATTATTAAGCTCTAACTTAAAATGATTTGGGGCCCATTACTTACATCATAGGAGCCACAAAACACTGTTGCTGAATGTAGGTTTTATTTTATTTGTTTTTTATCTTATATTTTGGAAATGTACATCTAGGTGTTTTTTTCCTTTAAATTTTTTTGGGGCCCCCAAGAGAGTGGGGCCCTAAGCTATAGCTTGCTTGGCTTATACGTAAATCTGGCACTGAATATATATTGAAGGATTGCAGAGTGGTTTGCAATTGCTTAACAACACCAATGAAATAACATCTAGAGCTATCATTTAAAAAGAATGAGGTGACTGTATATTTCAGCCGAATAAGAGAGAAAAATCTGGAGGAATGTTGTTAGCCATCCTCCATGTTTCAGAAGCCCAACTGGCACTGTCTAGATGTCAGGCATTGAGTGCTATTGATTCCATGCAGTGAAATTCTCTTGTAGTAGAGACACAGCACTCATCTTCACTTGTAACCTGACTTTTTTTTTTTAATGTTGACAGGCCTGTTCAGTGGTTTCAACTTTTAAGATGAGCAGGTCAGTGATGGCTGTTGTCCACCAGACCAGGGGAAGCTGCTAGGAGGTCCTGGGGGCATGACCAATGAGCGGTCACAGAGGTGTAGCCAAGTTGTTCTGGTTTTTTCCACAACCTCCTCCCTTGTAAAGTTACGGTGGGCACTTAAGCGCTGCAATTTTGCATCAGCAACTGAATAAAACTGAAAAGTGCCTCACTCTGGTTCAGAAAGGGGTCCCTGCGGTCACGATTCCTAGTGTGGGTTCATGCTAAGCAAACTGCACAGAGGTGAGCCCTGCTTAATTCTATGGGGATTGCCACCTTGTAAGTATGTACAGGATTGTAAACCTGAACTGGCTGGTCTTAAAAGTGCAGCACAGGACTGTTAACAAGTTACCCCATAAATCTCCAGAGCCTCTTTTCCTGGCCTGCTCCTTTCCCCTGGGGAAACTACTCTTTATCGAGGGGGGGGCAGTGATCTGGTTGTCCCAGACTGCCATTCATTCCGATTTAGAGCCAAAGAGCAAGTTTTCCCTGGGAAAGGAGTGGAGAGAGGGAAAAACCACACAGACCTCCCATGCCTAGAAAGCATTTGTCAAGCAGAAAACCGCTCAGACCTGTGCTTTCTAGGCACAGGGAAAGAGGAAGTGTGAACGATCCCTAATAATCATCCATCCAAAAAAATTACTCGCACACAGAAAGCTAGCTATCAAGGAGAGTCCAACTTTATGCTTGATATGTTAGATTTCCACGCACAGGAATTTGGAGGTGGAAGGGGGAGCAATCAATCTTGTGGGTCCCCACCTATTTCTGATAGTTTGGTATGTCCCAGGTTTATCAGAAGACACTCGAGGACACAGACAGGACTTCCCTAATGGCTACTGCAGGGGGCAGGAGGTTTCACATCTAAATTGAGCCGCTATCCCATTTTCCTGGCAGGGGACTCCATGAAGAAGGTTTTCCAAAGGTTAATGCATCCCAGCATAACAGGAAGCAAGACAATGGCCGAGGCTCTTATCTTGACTGTGCAGCTTTTCCAGGTGCTGACCTCTCCCCTCCCCGCTCTACACACATCCAGCGGTGGAGGCATGCCTGCAGACGTCTCAGAGCAAAAGCCCCTGAGGCCAGAGCTGAGGCTGGAAGTGAGAGCAGGAAGAGTCTGCTTCTGTCTTTTCCCCTTCCCGTGGTGCTTTGCAATGAGGCCAAGTTTTTGCCAGGTAGGCCAAGTTTGGGTGTATCAAAAGATACCTCTGGTCACAAAAGTAGTCTGGCTACAGATCAGACGTGACACGAAAGTGTGATGGCATTCCTGTCCTTTTTCAATGTAAAACAAAAACCCACAAGATTGTCGTCTTTGACTCTTTCTGCAACTGACGTCTTCTTCCTAAAAATTACCCCCAAGAGGAAAAACCCCATCTGGACAAAAAAATAAAATAAAAAGCAGCCTCTTCAAGAAGTTACAAATACGCCAGTTTTCCTTTGTATATTAATGAAATTTACAAGTTTAAGTGTCTTTAGGAAAACCTCAGTGTTGGTTTCCAGATACCAGCGGATAACCTCTCCCAGTTCAGTGTGTGTGTTTTCCTGGGGTGTGCATGCTAAAATTTAGCCTAAGGCTCCAGGTGGAAAGAAAGAAACCAGCCACACACAGTTCTTGCCACTGTCTTTGATGCACTTTATTTACAAATAAGCAAAATAAATATAAAAAGGCTCTTAGAAATACAAAACCTTCTGCATAGACAAGATAGTAGGATTGCTTCTGTCTTTGAATAAGTTCTTGATCTACGCCTGATCAGAAGCAACTTCTTTGGAATGTAATAACTTGAGAATTTGGAGCAGGGCTCCCTGCCGCTGCCGCCACACACAAATCAAGTTTTGTTCATTCATGCAAGTGTCAGCTGTTAGTTGCAAAGGTGGAGATTCCCTCTATTCAGAAACCAGAGCGTGTGGATAATACACAGGTGCTCTGAGCCAGCTGAAGAGATCCATGTACATAAATACGTGCATCACCTCCTGGATCAGTAACCTTTCCATGATTCTTTGTGGAAAGCCGCAACAGACAAACTGGTTATATTTATTTAGGTTTGCAAGATTTATGTCTCTGAGCACTTCCAGGCTGTTCATATTTCTGGGTGGAATTTAGTCACATTCTGGGCAAATTCCGGTTGTGCAATTACAGTTGACTGAGAGGTCCTGGGCAACAAACCCACTCGGTCAGACTTTCAGCAATAGGGAAAGTGACAGGGAAATGCTCTGGAATGTGTCAGATAACACTAGCTGGATGCAACACCCTCCGCAGTCGTCCTCCAGCCTCCCCACAAGCAAATCAGGATGAATGTTCACTTAACAGCAAACCCTAATGAGCCTCCCTGCAAACAAGTCAGGATGAATGCTCAATAAACAGATTGTCTGGAAGTTCCCTATCTGTCACCATTTGTTTTACTTTTCATCTTTGCTAGCCCATAATTTGCACAAATAGCAATGACAAACCTAGACAGGATCTTAAAAAGCAGAGACATCACCTTGCCAACAAAGGTCCGTATAGTTAAAGCCATGGTTTTCCCAGTAGTGATGTATGGAAGTGAGAGCTGGACCATAAAGAAGGCTGATCGCCGAAGAATTGATGCTTTTGAATTATGGTGCTGGAGGAGACTCTTGAGAGTCCCATGGACTGCAAGAAGATCAAACCTATCCATTCTGAAGGAAATCAGCCCTGAGTGCTCACTGGAAGGACAGATCCTGAAGCTGAGGCTCCAATACTTTGGCCACATCATGAGAAGAGAAGACTCCCTGGAAAAGATCCTGATGTTGGGAAAGATGGAGTGCACAAGGAGAACTGGACGACAGAGGATGAGATGGTTGGATAGTGTTCTCAAAGCTACCAGCATGAGTTTGACCAAACTGCGGGAGGCAGTGGAAGACAGGCGTGCCTGGCGTGCTCTGGTCCATGGGGTCACGAAGAGTCGGACACGACTAAACAACAACAACAATTTGCACAAATGCACCTATATCCAGTCAATGTTATGCTGTGTGCTTCAAAGGGGCAGGGAGAGCAGGCACTAATATAATAGCCAGTCTTCTAACATGGGGAGTAACTGGCTTCTCAGAACATTTTGGTCAATGGCACCACCTGAAAAGGCAAGGCTATGCCTCACTTTTGCTGAATTTAGCAGGCCAAGTCAGCTGCGACCATTTTGAATCCCTCAAGTTTTGAAATTATTTTAAGCACAGGCTGTACATGTAGCAGGAAGAGGTGGCAAGAGTCCTGAGGTGGAAGAACAAGGTACATAATATCAAAGGGCAGGTGGGAGATCACATTATTCAATGTGCTGATACGTTAAAAATCTCATTGCAAGCACAACAGAGTGCGTGGCTGGGGTTAGAGCTTTTAAAACCAGGCACTCATAACATTTAGATCAGCTATGGTAGAGTTTTTGTTTTCATTACTTTCAGTGAATTATTTTTAAAACCCGGGGGGAAGCATTTCAAAACGGCATTGCCAACCCACAGTCTAAATCAAGTATATTTCATTCTTATAACCACTAGGTTCTTTCATCTCATTCTCCTGCATGACTTGGCCTCGGGTGCAAGTTATGACTTGTATGTGTAAATGTAGGGCTGCCATATGTCTGGAATTCCCTCGACATATCCAGGATTCGCCTGCTGAAAATGGAGTCCCGGTGGAATTTCCAAAAGAGGTTAAAATAACTGGGAACCCATAGCAACCCATGTTGAAAATGTTGATTTTTTTTTTTTTTTTTGGTCTAATTTCCTTTAAAAAAGCTCTAAAACTTCAATTTTTTTCCAGAGATTTTCCAAAGAAACCCTATGTAAACAGGCCATTGCAGATAAAATGTTGCAGACTGGAGGGATGTTCACTCAAACCTCACTACACTCCAACAGCCATGCATTTGTTGGCCATTTGTAGGGTCTCCAGACACACAGTTAGCCTTGAGGAACTTTGAAACTCCCTTCTTCACAAAAATTTCATCACAGTTCAAGGGCACCAGTTACTTCACACATTGAGCTACTGATGAAGTGCCCAGCAACTAAATGTAAAGAAAAAAACTGAGACATGTATGCCTGTCCGAACATTCTCTGGAAGAGGGCTACCAAGTTTAGGCAGTGGGTGCACAGATGCACTGATGGCAATTCATTACATTTTCTTATCTTTCCTTTTTCAGTTAAAAGCTTTGATAAGGGAAGAAGAAGAAGGGATGGAGCTATAATAGCCAGGAAGTGGGCAGCATTAGAGGATTGCCCACAATGATTGCACAGTAGTTACAAATGGATGTCAGAATCTAGGCTGCTCCTAAAAACAGCTGCAGCTGCTGCCAACAGTTTAGAGAGGACAGCAAGTCAACCTGGGATGGAAGCGTGGACTGCAGAGCTTGACTGTATCCCCAATGCACATTTCCATTCCCAAAGCACTTTGAAATGGACAGGTATCCTGGAGGCAGTTCTGTTCTGCTTTCATGCAGTGGCCCAGTTCTCCCTGGTCAACCTGTGTCTGGGTTATACCACTGCAGACTGCGAGTGGAGGCACACATGGAATACTTTTCATGCCAAAATTAAAAATGCCATCTACCTGGGCAGATGCCATGGAGGTGGGTTTGCACCTTGCTTTCTCCCTAGCATGCTTACTTTCCATGTTTTTATTTAAAATTTTCATAGAACAGTCCATGCATCCATCACCGCCACCTGCAGTCTGAAGTGGTATAGTCCCAGCCACAGCTTTATGGGCCTGTGAGTTCTAAGCCAAGGTTCTGGGCTTAGAAAATCCACAATCACCTGGATGTCTCTTTTTCTGCTTTGATCTGGGCACATGTACTTGCTGGCCTCTCCCTTGTTAAAACTTCATTTGGACTCCATATGGAGTGCTGGCACAGACGCTTACTCTAAAGCCTCGCTGCCTCAGTCAGGCGTGAACGCACTCCACTTTAATGTGCGCTTTAACTCTCCGCTTCTTTCACATGAATGGGGGCGGCTCGGTGTTTACACTGACACTTGTGAAGCTTGCAAAAACTGACAGAACCAGCCACGACGCCTGACTAAAGCCCCCTTTCATCAGCACCAAACTCCCAACAATGGTCTTACTAAGCCAGGGTGGGATTAAGCACCCAAAGACCCCCACATCCTGTACAGAAGGCTCAGAGACAGGCGCTAAAACATGAAAGAAAGGGACAGGGATAACTGATAGGGGCAGAGTGAGGCCAGAGCAGGGGAGAATGAAGGCTTTCAATATGGATAATATATGGGCTGGTGCACCGAGTTCTTCGTGTCAGCAAAACTCTGTGTTTGCAAGAGATCTCGGGAGGGCAAATGAGAAAACAGAACGGGATTTTAAAGGGGTTGGGGAGAGAAAAGAAAAAAAGGATTTCCTATTTTCTAATTTGGAAGAGAGGAGAAATGGCATTGTGGTAGGGAAAGAGCACGGGGCTCTAGCAGGACAGGGGGCTGATTCTGGCTTGCTCTGCCAGTAGGCAGGCGAATGCTTTTTTCAGATAACTGAAGGTGGTACAATGGAGTCATCCCCTGTGGCACAAACAAACACTCTGCTCTGGCACAGAGTAAAGCACACAGGAACCCCATGCCGAGTTCCTTCCTCCAAGAAGCACAACTTCTTCTGCAAACTCCTGACATCATGATACGGTGTGTTTCCTGCTACAGAACATTGGCCGCCCTTGGCAGCAGTTGGGCAGTGTTCAGCTTAGAGATGTCATAAGGACGTGGGCTAAGTTATGGAGAACTTGGCTGAAAGGTTGCTATTTTCAGTGTCAGCCCCACTTTTTTAATAACATGTTGCTTCAGCCTCCTTAATGGATGGTTTCTGCCATGTTTCAAAAATCTGCCAAATTCATTTGATCAGAGAGGAGTGCCAGACAAATACAAAGGGTGTGAATACAATTAACAACAATGCCTCCTTCATACCATCCTCAGCTCTCTTGAAAACTATTGCTTGTCTTCCAATCGTTTGGTTGATCACCAGGAATCATAAGATACACAACCTTTTTTTGGGAGGGAGGAACCCTAGCAGTAGTTCGTTCCACCACCCAGGTGAATTTCCCACATGCCTGGGCAAAGCTGTCTAGAAAAACCCAGTCTTTGGGGTTGTTTCCTCATTCTGTAACTGGACGCCATTTCCATTTCAAGATTGGGCCTCCAAGAATGATGGACCTAACTGAGCAGTTCTAGAAATGTCTTCTCAAAATCACAGCACTTCCTGTGATTTGGACTGACTCCTCTGTTTGTGAGGGCATCACCTGACAGACTTGAGATTCGGGATTCTTTCTTTTATTTTATATGTTAGCCAGGCTGAGGTAAAGCAATGGGAATTTGGAGTGGCTAGGAACGAAACTATGGGAGTGTTTACGAGAGACAATGTATATTAGGCTGTGAGGCCTGATTGTTTTTGTGTGGTCTCCATAAGACTGGTGTTGGTACATGTGTGAGGAGAAGGAGCAGCTAAGGGGAGATCCCATGTTATCTGAGGCCCGAAATGGTTTGACATGAGAAGCCCACAACTGTTGGCATTACAATGGCTGCCAATTCCTCGAAAGAGGCTTGTTCCTGACTTAAACCACTGTCGAACATCAGGTCAGAGAAACCAGCACTTCTGAAATGGCTTCATTTTGAGGCACTGGTGAGGTGTACAAGAGATTACTGGATACCCACAGAAAATGAGATGCTGATTTGTCCTCCCATACAGTTCACTGTATGGCATTAGCCACTCTTCAGGCAAAATTGACAGGGTGTTCCTTATTTGCTTCTGATGTCTCTGTGGCAAACTTTGGGTTTTGAGTGTAGGCTAACAAAGATGCAGAGGAGCAAGGGGGTGTCAGACAGAATAACTTTCCCTTCTGAGAAAACTTCCCCCTCTTCAGCTGTTTCTTGAGTTCTCAAGGAGCTTCCAAAGTTTCCAAGAAGGCCATCCAAAGCCTTTTAGACATACCCAGGGCTTCAAGAACAGTCCTAGGCCTCACACAGTCTTGTGCAGACCCCAGAATGTGGTCAAGCATTGTTCTCTTCAGAGACAGACACAGTGGTGAAAAGGAGCTGTGTGGTGTTCTTTGGCTGATCCAGATCTCGGATTTGATTTTGTTTTCTTTTTTTTTTTGGAGAAGAAAAAAGGTGTGGGCAACAAAAGGAAGGAAGTTCTCCCTGGTGACCTGCTGATGCAAGGTCGGCCTCCCAAGTTCCTCACTTCTTGTGGTGCATGTCTTCCATCCCGACTCGGCCCCAGACGCCTACCACAAAGGTTTCGATCTCACACTCATTTTCCCCACGGGCAATGCGGAAGTAGCCGTCCTCTCCCCAGTCCTTGCCCCACGAGTTGGCAGCAATCTGAAGCCAGAGACACAAAATTGCCCAGAAGATAACATGAGCCATTAATGGTTTCCGACAAAACAGCTTTTCACATTTATACTGCGCCGTAGCATTCATACATAGCAATCTTGTTGCCATCCTTACAGCAAGCATGCAAGGCATGTATTGTCAGTATGATCCCCATTATCTTGCAAAGAGAAAAAGAGAAGCTCACCTAAGGCTGTAAAGTGAGTTCATGGCAGAGGTGAGTTTTAAACTGGGGATTCCTGCTTTGTAACACTATCTCATAGTGGCTTTGCTACACCAAGTCTCACATTAAAACGAGGATGGGGAACCTTTTCAGCTCAACAGGCCAGATCCTGAGCCCAGTGGGTCAGTGACAGGTGGAGGGGGCACCCACCTCAGGGAACCCTTTTTCCTTTGCAGCATGGCTTGATGCCACCCGCTACCAGCTGGTTGGTGGTGACTTCAAGCCCTGCTGGGATCGGCTACATTCCAGAGTTTCCAATCAGCTGACTGGCACTGTCTTCAAGCCTCATTTACAGCAGCGCTTACTTGTAGACAGCGGGGCAGGAGAGATCCAGAGAAATAGATGTCTAGGATAACGAAGAATTATTAAAAGGTCCCATAGTGTGCTTTGAAGGTATATGTTGCAGCCACTTGCTCAAGTTAAAACCAATTTGGGTCTGGGTCAGTGTCTCGATCGTCACCCCCACACTGAGTTGCTCCCTGACACCCTGTTTAATGAGCATGCATCCTGATTTGTTTTTGGGGAGATCAGATGATGATGTGTCAAGGGAGTTTTATCACACACTTCCATTTCACCATATTTTTCCTTATTGCGAGTCTGATTTCTTAGGGAAGCAGGTTTATTTCGCAAGAGTTCCAAATCAGCTTTGAGTGCACAGGCTGAATTTGCCAGGATTTGACTGAATTCCACCTGAAAACAGTGACAGTCTGGAAATGCCCTGACTGGGCACCCATCTATGCCACCTTGAACTCTATGATGGAAGACCTTAAATGAAATACCTCAAATGAACAATACCTAAATTTGTGGCAATTCCTGGTTAAGAAACGGCAGCACTCACCCAGTATTTCTGATTTGACCCATCAGGCAGCTGTTCCTCTCCCCACCTGTGACACAGAATAAAAGAGACAGCTTTGTTGAGTGGCCCTCCTTATCATGTGCTATGCAAAAGATTTCAGCCACACATTTGCACACCACCCAGGCATCTTCTGATGAAGGACAATTAACAAATATTAGGGAAACTGCTTGCAAAAAAAAGTGTATATTTGGAGTAATCAGACCAAAACGCTGATGAATTTTCATGCAGATCTTAATACAGTAATAACAATATTAAGTGGAAACGTGGCAAACATCTTTAAGACTGAAACGATAAGAAACCAAAATGAAATTTGACAGATTCTTTGGTCCATACTTACAAATGAAACTGAGAGTGATAAATATTTTGCCACACTTTAACTAAAATATGATAAAGCCAAAAGGACCTAGAATAAAATATATGCTTCAGAGGCAACATCCAGTGTTTAGGCCACTAGGCAGCCCTGTTTAGGGAAGTTTTTAATGTTTGATGTTTTATCATGTTTTTAATATTCTGTTGGGGGCTGCCCAGAGTGGCTGGGGAAACCCAGCCAAATGGGTGGGGTATAAATAATAATAATAATTGTACCCATCCTTCTTTAACATGTCAGGAAGCTGTTTTATGACAGATTTGCTCAGTGGAATGCATTTCACAAAAAATGAAGCATTGTTGTTGCTTTGATTGCTAGATTTTAACCAACCCCATTACATTCATCCTTCTGGTTTGAGAAGATCATAACAAGAGACCCTCTGGACTCCAGCATCCTGTTTTCCACGATGGGACAACCAGATGCCTCTAGGAATCCTACAAGTAGCACATGGAGGGGAAAGCCTTCCTTGGAAGCTGCCCTATACCAAGTCAAACCATGGCCCATCTGGCCTAGTGTTCTCTGCACTGACTGGCAGCAGCTCTCCAAGGTTTCAGGTAGGGGGCATTCCCCGTCCTACCTGGAGATGCTTCTAGGGATTGAACTTGGAACCTTCTGCATGCAAAGCAGATGCTCTACCATTCGTTATTGCCCAGAATCTGGAGGTTACAGATAAATATAATGTCTAGTAGCTGCTGGTACATGAATCTGCCTAGTCCCCTTATAAAGCCATCAAAGTTAGTGGCAGTACTTCATACTGCCTGTCTGGGAGAGATGCCCAAAGTCAGGTGTTAGCAAAGCAGGCTTGGTGTCCGACTGGAAGGGGTTTCCCATTTCATTCCTTACTGATTAGCTCAGAATCTGGTCTGTCATTTCCTTCTGCAAGCAGCTTGAGAAGATAAGCCCAAGTGGAAAAGACAGCGTGATCTAGCTGGCTGGGAGCCCTCCACTTGTTTCTCCTTAGCTTGCCCCCATAGTTCAGTGTTTTCCTTTGCCCTAAGCAGAGGCCTTTGCCCATCTCTGAGTGTTTTGATCTCAGTGTTGGAATGGGTAACTGTGGCAACATTCTGTGTACTTGCAGTCTGTGAGTCAAGTTAAAAAGACTCAAAGCATCCCCTGGTGCCAATGTTTTGTTTAGGTTTCTGCTGTATTCCCAGCTTGTTCCAATCCAGTGAGAATTCCTCGTCCCTCACACAGTATTATAAGTAGCATTATTATTATTAGCATTTCATCCACAGCAGCTTAGAAGTGAGAAGACAATCTATTCCCTTCCCTTCCCTTCAGGCTCTCAGTCTAAGGCACAGCCCTCAGCACCCTTCACAAACTACAGTTCCCAGAATCCTTTGGAGGGTGCAAAGCCATGACTGTTTAAAGTGATATAAAACTGCTTAAAATGTATACTGCAGATGATGCATTAGTTGTTTTAGCCATAACAGACTAAAAACACACACAGCAGTCTCCCCATTTCATCTGCGAAATGTTGGAGAGTCTTTTGCATGCTGTAGAATAAGTCTCTGAAGCCGTTTCAGTCCTGGTGAAAGAGATCTCAGAGGGGAATCTGCTCCAGCTGTGCTCAGCTCACCCAAAGAATGACTCTTTCACCCGGCTGGCGGCTGTTTGACGTCAGAGAGAAAAGTTCTCACTTCCCCCCCAAAGAGTGGCCTTATCTGGCAGTGACTTGTTCTCAAGAGCCTCTACTCTCCCCCTGCGGGGCCTCTCTTTTTAGTTTTCCTTCCTCATTCCTCGAGCAGCAGTGAGCTGGCATGGATCAAACTCCGCTGTCCAGTCAGTGCCCACCAAATGAGGGAAAGTGGAGAGGAAACCACGTGGCCCCGCGGAGAGGAAACATGTTGAACTCCCTATGGTGCCCACCATCAAACACACACACACAGACAGACAGAGAGAGAGAGAGAGAGAGGCAGAGTAAGCTCCAAAGAGTCACAAGGCCAGGCAGTCATCAGGGGTCCAAGAAGAGCCACAAAGAGGAAGGAGTAATATGAGGAAATTCTGCCCCCTCTTCCAGGTTAAAACAGCCTGTGGAGGATGTCCTCTGCAACTGTCCCCCCAACCCAACCCTGGGAAAAGAGAGGAGGCCTTCAGAAGCACCTTTAAAAAACAAAAACAAACATTTTTCTTTACCCAAAGGTCTCCTTTATTCCTTTTTCCTGCAACTGGTGCCCTCTCCCAAATTCTGGGGCCAGGGCCAAGCTCACACACCTCTCAACCAAAACATACACAGGCCATACAGTCATACGTTCATGCCATACATTTATAGCACCATGATAGCATTTTAACCAGTCATGCCTCCCCCCCCAAAGGATTCTGGGAGCTGCAGTTTGTTATGGGTGCTGAGAGCTGTTAAAGGTAAAGGGACCCCTGACCATTAGGTCCAGTCGCGGACGACTCTGGGGTTGCAGCGCTCATCTCGCTTTATTGGCCAAGGAAGCCGCCATACAGCTTCCGGGTCATGTGGCCAGCATGACTAAGCCGCTTCTGGCAAACCAGAGCAGTGCACAGAAACGCCATTTACCTTCCCACCGGAGCGGTATCTATTTATCTACTTGCACTTTGATGTGCTTTCGAACTGCTAGGTTGGCAGGAGCAGGGACCAAGCAACGGGGGCTCACCCCATCACAGGGATTTGAACCACCAACCTTCTGATCAGCAAGCCCTTGGCTCTGTGGTTTAACCCACACCCGTGTCCCTGAGAGTTGTTAGGAGGCCCCTATTGCCCCCACAGAGCTACCATTCTCAGAGTGGTTGAGTAGTCAATTGCTTTCATGCCCTGCTCTGAGGCTCTCAGAAGCTGCTGTCTACTGTGGGAAACAGAACACTCGACTGAACTGGCCCTTGTCATGACATAACATGTGAGAATACCATGCAATTGGATATTCCTGTGATCAGTAGAAAGGCAGCCCCTGAACCAACCAACATTACCCCCTCAAGCAATATCCCTCACCCAGTGACTTTGACGGAATGGGTGCCGTGCCGTCGGTACTGTTCTGGCTTCCCGGCAGCTACAGATGTGTGCCGATAAATGCCACTTCTATACATGAAGAAGTCTTCATGCACCTCCATGATGGCTGTACAAGAAGAGAAAGGAGATGAAGTAAGCAACAGGAAAAAGTCGGCAGGCACAGACCCTCCACCTCTGACGTCGACTTCACCACCAACCCTTTGGAGGCCTGTCTGCACTACAAACGTGTATCAGTTTTATAACTCTCTTGGCTTGCACATTCACACTTGCATATGTGCACCCCAAAGGATCCTAGTAATTGCAATCTGGCTGAGAATCCTGTTAAGGGTTCTTACACTCACAAAGCCGGAATTTCTTCAGAAGATGGAATTGTTAAGCAGGTTTGCTGTGTGAACACACCATTTAGATTTCTACGATAGGCAAACCGGCTGAATTTCCGTCAAGAAGCAGGTGTGCATTTCTGCACTATGGATGATGGAGCTGATCATGGGGGCCAGAAAGGATTGTGATTGGGCTTGCAGGGCTTGGAAGGCAGGAGGTAAAACTTGGGCTGGTGGTGGTGATACCCATTGCTAGTAGTCTGTGGGTTGTGTGCTTCCACTTTTGAAAGTCAGTGTGGCATTGTGAACAGAATGCTGTACTTGAATAGGAGGGAGCAAATTAAGATCAACTGACCCTAACGCAGGGTTATATCTAACTACGTTTTACTCAGAGCTGCTCCATTGTGATTAATAGGCCTAGCTTAGTCTTGCTCATTCACTTTTATGGATCTACTCCGAGTAGGACTAGCACTGGCTACAAACCATGTTCATCTATCATCATCCTACTACTACTACTACTACTACTATTATCCTTTTGAGATTTAGACCATTGAAATTAATTAATTTATTTTTCTTTCTTTCCATCTGTGAAACTTTTGAACAACTTTGTGGTGCTGAACTTCCAGGGTGCTCTGCTTTAAATGACAAGGACATGGCTTTCATAATATCTAGCTCCGGACTCAAATTAAGCCCTCCACCCCCACCCACCCAATGGCAAAACTGTTTGTATGTAGTGTTATATGTATATCAGCACAACCCTTCCAAGATTGCTGGTGCTGGTGAAATGGAGCAAACATCTTCCATGTGTTCAAAGAACATGTGAAAGGATTACACAGGCTGCCCCCTTCCTTGCTGATGCACCCAAGAATGCCCCCCTCCAACTATGTGCATGAAGCTTCTCTATGCAAGGGAGGTGGGTCATGACTAGACCTCTGATCATAGAGTCTCTTCCCACATGTGATGAATGCACCAGTGGCAGAGGGACACACAATTCCCTATTAATGCATGTGGGTTTTCTTCTGTCTTACATCACTGTCTCAGAAATCTCAGTCATAGAGATCTGTGAACCACTGAAATCCAGAGTCCAACTCCCTCAAGCTTAATCATTGATAATTTCCTAACGGAAGGTCTGTCTTGATTGTGCCTATCCTAAAGATCATAAACCAACTTCTACTGGGTTTTTTATCTCTGAGGGTTACAGGAGCATTGCAGGTTGCTGTGATGGAGGCATTTTTTTTGTACAAAATATGAAAAGACAGCATTTTGGGGAGCTGGCTTCCTGTTCTCATCATTGTGTCTTCCATACTGGGCACTACAGCACTGTAAATAATCATTTCTACATCAGGCTGGCAGTCGGGATGAGACTGCCAAGTCTATGCCCTCTTCCTGGCCAGGATATAGCACTGGAGCTAAGGTTCTAAATGCTCAGGTAACCTGCTCTTCCTCAAAGTGCTTTCTGGAAAAGCTCTGTAGCTACAAATCTCTCAGGGTTTTTTCCTGGGGGAGATCCATAGCTCACCTTGCACTGGTCCATTCTCCATTAACTCCTTCATGATCTCTTTCTCCTGCAAGCAGACGGAAGAGTAGCAAGGCATTTTACAAACATATCATAAACAGCTTTAAAAACCCTATAAAAAGAAAGATACTTTGTAAAATTTCCTCCCAAGATTCTCCACCATTTTTGATGGCAGATCCCCCTGACAGCACCCCAGAAGGATGCATAGGCTAGGACTTGGTAGAAGAGGCAAAAGGTGGTCAGGCTGCCAGCATAGTTGAAGCTGCACCGTGCAACAGGAAAATACAGCTTTGTGACAGAAGAAAGAAAATCCACTACTGCAACTTTTAAGAGTGATCCCCACCACAAATAAAGTACTGGGACCCTGCCCGCCCCCACCACAAATATAGATGTGCCCACCAATAGGATAGAGGATTTAAAGAGGCCATTTGTGCACAGCTCTAGCTTGAAAACCCTGCCCAGAACCATCAGCTGTGCTCAGCCCAACCTCTACAGCACTCACGTTAGAGGAGAGGCGATACGCAGGGGTGGACTGGAAGATCTCATTGGAGTCCGTCCATGGGTTGGGGCAGCGTGCCGTGGCTTGTCTCTTGCCCCGGCCTGTGGAGCGGCTATGCATCATGCAAGGGATTGCAGGCGGGGTGCTGTCTTTTTCCTGGCTTGTGAAAGGGTAGCATTCATCCGTCACCACTCTGGAAGACCGAAGGTGGGGGAGAGGGAAAGGAGAAAAGTATGAGATTTTGTAGGTAACTGAATGGCTTATGTGGAGACTTGCTCACTCCCAAGGGTGATGTTAAGAACATGGTCTGTATGTACCTTAAAAAAAAACAAACCCTCTAACTAGGAGTCACCCAGGATGGGGATAGCATGAACAGGGAGGTGATTATTTAACCCTTCCCTCCTATAGAAATGGAAGGGGGAAGGGATTCACCCCCCTAATCAGGAACACAGTATGGGGGGACAATTTAAAAACACCTTCCTCATGTGTTATGGTCCTGATCTTCCATCCCTTGGCCCCTCTCAAAGCTGCAGTTATTTATAGATTTTTTTAAGATACAAGCAATGCCAACCCACCTGCCTAATGCCACGAGTTGTTCAGCTTTAAGTCTTTACATGCAACTCCTTCAAGACCCTTCCATTCCCACCCTTCCTCCCCCCCCACCTGACATCCCTTGCTAGTTGTGTTGATACTTTTCCTAGCCTTCTAGCCTTCCCAGCCATCAAAGGCTAATAGCCCCAGCCCTCCAGCCCTATAACAATGCCAGACCAGTATTGCCTAGCAGTTTTCAAGGAGAGTAATGGAGGCTGGTCTTCCGCGAAAGACAATATGTACATAGGAAGTTGCCTTATTCAGAGTCAAGCCACAGGTCCATGTAGCTCATTAGACAGTAATATGCCAAGGAACTGTTCTACCACTGAACTTTGTTTCTTCCCCATGACTACTCTTGCGTGCATTTTTAAAAAAAAAAATATTGGGGGGTGGGGGAATTCCTATTCCATGGCCGCTGGTGGTGAAACACCCCATGCAGACTCATTGTGCAGTGGATGTAAACTCCCCAGAATCTTCTGCAATGCACTGGGCTTCCATGGTATATATATGTAGAGGTGGAAAGTCTGAACGTCACAGTTCTCTAATTCAACAGCCTGCTGTAAAATGATGATGCCTGAACATTTGAGTTTAAGTCAAATTCAGCATATGATCCCTTTGTTCTTCCTACCTTCATGGTCTCACAGCTGAGCCAAAACTGGGGGCCTGGCAGAATCTGGGAGATCCAAAAGGGTTTTGGAAAGCCTCCAGAGCTATACTAGGCCATGCCACATTTGCACAGAGACCATTTCTGTCCCGTGCAGGTTGACAACCTCATCAACTTGCATTGCTACACCAGGTTCCATTTCTGAATGTGACGAAGTGGACTTTTCTGCACAAACTCACCCTCTCCTGCGCAGGAACCACCAGGCCCCATCAATTCGGCCCCCGCTACAGCCTTGCTGGTTGCGAGTGTTGCAGGAGAGGAGGTTCTGGGGCGATAAGGCGGGAGTCATGTGTCCCATGGAGTGGATGGAGATCCTGTCCGAGGCCACCGCTGGTGAGAAGACACATGTCGTTACAAGTCTGGAGAGCTAGTAATGAGGATGAAGGTGGTTTCTTGAATCACAGGAGCATTAGCATTGTGCTACAGTAGCATGCAGTTGATGCAGTTCTCCTATTTGGATTTTCAAAGCATAAGGAATCTCCAGATTTAGGGAGGAGAAAGTGAGGGGCAGCAGTAGTAGGAAGAGAATACCGGATGGATGAGAGGGAACTAAAGGGGACACCAGGGGTTCACAATCTGCATTAAGATGAGGTATGTCTGGCCCCTCTATGTGTGAGAACAGCTTGTACAGGGAAGTCTAGGGCGTTGCTTGAAAGACTATGAGTGATGCCCTCTCAAGAACTACTGTTCCCAGAGTCCCTTAGCATCAGTACAATGGAAGGAAGAGGCAACAGAGTGTCACAGCAGGAGGGTGGGACAAGCACAGTGATAATAATCAGGGACACAGACATGCCAAGGATGTTGGAAAGGAGCCAGTACTGCTATTAAGATTTACAGGCCTCTGAAGATGTGTGAGTCAATGGATGAGGCCCATTCCCAGAGCACCTAGAAGAACTGACAGTAGATTGCCAGGTACAGAAAACCATAGCTGTCAACTTTTCCGTTTTCTTGCGAGGAATCCTATTCGGAATAAGGGAATTTCCCTTAAAAAAAGGGAAACGTTGACGGCTATGACAGAAAACATCTGTATGGGAACAGGTTAGCCTAGCCTACCCCACCCCAAAGTAGAGCATCAGGAGGGTAGCAGAAGACATGCCCTCTCCCTGCTCCATCATTGTTATGGCACATTCTTTCCACCTGTGAGGTGAGGTACCTGCAGTAGAAAAGGCCCAGGATCCAGCACAGTTGCCCTGGTCCAGCGGCTCGTGGATCATTCCTGCCCACTTCTCAGCAGCGTTGAAATGGGAAGGCAGCACCTCATTGGCATCCATATTCATCTACAGAAAGGGGAAAGAAGGAGAAGGAAGTCACTAGAGAGAAGGGAAATGTACCCAGGATTCACAGTGGAAACAGCAACAGGAATCAGGCCAGGGATATTCATATCTTGCAACAGGCTCGCCTCGGTTGCTGCTTCAAGATACTCACTGAGACAGAATTGTTGGTCTTCTGCTCCAATTTAGTGCTAAAGAGCAGGTTTTCCAGGTAAAAGTAGCAGGGCAAAGGCAAAGCCGCCCAGACCCGTGCCTAGACAACATGGGACAAGCGGAAAAGCTCTTGAACCCCTTGTTTTCTAGCACAGGCAGACTAAGCAGAACAAGCCCTGAGAGTCAAGAAACCAGAACACAAGCTGTGTAAAACTTCCTGCCCTTTCCTGCATCTTCCTCTCCCAGCTTACATTACCTTGAAAGTCCCCACGTTGCTCAGTCTCAAAGCAACAAGAGCAAGAGCAAAAATTGCTCAGGCTTGGAATCATGTCCTGTTCTGTTGACGGACAGCTTGTGCTCGTAGCCCAACAGACAAGGTCTCGTTGCTTCCCTTGCTGGAAAAGCGGGGCCTTCAGTCCAGCCTGGCCTCTTCCCTTTCCTTGTTCTAAAAGAGAGCAGAGATCTGGGGGCCACCCTGGCTTGATTCCTCTGACATTTCAGCCGGCTTCCTTTGGTCTGGTGTTTGCTTTAGGGGAGCAGATTACGTCAGGGATAATGCACTGCTGAATCAGCAGCCTCTGCTGATGTCCTGAGGGGCTGCAGTGGCCTTCCCAGGAGTGGGAAAGAACAACACAGCCAGAAAAAGAAAGGACATGTGTCCTCTCCCCCTGAAACCACCCTCATCCCGAGGACTGAAATTGCTGAAGCAGCTGAGTTTGTTTGCAAACATCTCCAGGGCCCCTGAAGTCTCTGGATTGTTTTGTAGATTGTATGATTGATGGTGAATTTGTAATGTTCTATTATGTTCTATTGTGTTAGTGTTATTTGTTGTTTGTAAACTGGTTTGGGATTCATTTGAATGAAAAGCGACATAGAAATACAATAAATCAAATCAAACCCTTCTCTTAACAAAGTCACATATCTTCCCTCTTTTCCCCACAAAAAAGTGTAAGTGACCTCCCTCTAATATTGTTGTAGATTGTAAGCAGGGCCTTTTTCCAGCTGGAACTCACCAGAACTCAGTTCTGGCACCTCTCAGGTGGGCACCATTGTCCTTATAAGTGAACAAGGGAGGCGTTCATGGTGAGTTCCGGCACCTCTTTCCCTAGAAAAATAGCACTGATTGTAAGCCTTCCTGATTTAGAGCTCAGCGTTCCAGGCCATCCTCATTACTGCCACTGTAAGGACTGGATGCCTGACTAGATGGGCTTTGGGCCTGATCCAGTAGACACTCCATGTTTTCTTCCCCCCCTTTTTTTTTAATTACTGTCAACAGGTAACAAAAACAGGCTTGAAACTGACCTCTCAGAAGTCAGAGGGGTAACTGGGTGTGAGTTTCAGAGCTCTAAGAGCTACGTGCCTGAAATCAGTCCCTTGTCCCTTCTGACACAACTGGGAAAATTATGCACATGTTCTTTTGTATTTAATTTTACACTGCCCTGTGCTCAGAGGTGCAGAGGAAGAAAACTCCCAGGCTTTGGACTGAAGAAGCGCAGAATGAGCCTTTCTGGATCATCCACCAAGCGAGACTTACATGGAGTTCATTCATGTTCATGACAGCAGTGGGGGGTTTGATGGTGCCAAGGCGATACTGGATGCCCTCCTCTAGCGTCATGCCCCAGAACTGGCTGTAGTTGGAGGCTCTCCAGCTAAAGAAAGATGGAAGAGACTCCATTGAGAAGATGAACCTTTGCTCAGGGAGACCCTGAGAGATCCATTAGAGAGGGTGCCAGCATTCGGAACTAACCAGCTACCTTGGTAAGAAAACACCGCCATTTCATAGTTCTTGGATATATGACAAGCCAGCTCCCTTTCCTCTTGGCATTCTTCCTTGACTCAGAACTGGCATGCAATTTAAAGGGAGACTCTGCCTGCTCAGTCTGCCCAGGAAGGGTGAGAACCCCCCAATTCGCAAAGAAACTAATTGATTGCTGTGGCGTTTTGAAGAACTGGAATGTAATATAAAACAATAATAATCAGTTCTAATTCTGAACATGGTGTCCCTGTGCCAACAGAACTGGAGTCAAACCACTGAGAACTCACCACTGAGAAACAAAATGGAGGCATTGGTATGCTCAGCTGAATACTGAGGTATGCAACTTTCGAAACACTACTGTGCCATTACATAATGGGCATATAAGCACCACTTTATGTCAGATATATACTGACCACCACATGTATCTTATAAGTTTCCAGGTTCTACCCAGAACAGACCACAAAAACCACTGTCTGCATTCTGCCATCAAGCTCTGTGATACAACCACATCTGTTTTAACCCATTGGATAGAGACTCACAACTGGAATTCCTTATTAGACTACAAACACTTAGAGATTTTATTGCAATCAAGCTGTATATAAATGTTGCTAAATAAATCAATACAGTACACACACACACCACAAAGTGAAAATTCAGATCAGCAAAGCCAGACAGGTACCCAGAAAGGACTTCTTCTACAACAGGACTAGATGATGCGGCTTCTTGTTACTTGTAGTTCCCAGCTAAATCCACTCCAAGAAGCTACAGCCCATCCTCGACAAAGGTACCTCCCTCTCACTGGCCTTGGGTGGTAGGTCTTACTTACAGACACATCCTCAAGCTAGCACAGCTCCTCTCCAAGAATAATAAGCCACAGACACAAACACAGGGACCAGACCCTGCAACAGACCCAGGTTCCAATCCTATCTCCACAGCTCCTCAGAAAACACTACTGCAGATCCTAATAATGTCAGCCAGAATGTCAAGAGGACACTGTCCAGCTCATCTTACATGACGACAATCTCTCATTTGCCAGCGATGCCTTTCTGCATCCTACATAAGAGCAACAGAACAACCACTGTGCAAAAAGTATAAATGGACATAAACTTGACACTTGAAATAGCAATTTAAAACACACACACACAAAAAAGCCCAACAACTGTAGGGGACCATTTCAGTGTACTTGGACACTCTGCCATGAACCTTGTTCTTGAACAGAGGAACTTCAAAAGAAAACTGAAGCATGAAACCAATGAATCACAGTTTTCCTAGAGGTACTATTTTTCAAGAGCTTCAAGTCTACTAGCTTCAAGTCTACTAGCTGCGTTAAATCAGGATAATGGGTTGACTCTTCAGGTGAGCTTGGGGGACAAGATCCATGAGGGTCCTAGCTTGGGTTCCATAGACCCCCTGGGACACTCCCCTCAGGTGTGGTATCAGGAACTTGTTCCAGGCCTTACAACATCTCCACATCCAGCCAACCTATCCTTTTATGACACTGAGGTCAAGGCTGGAGCAATGGCAGCTTTTTCTTTAGGCTTATTCCTTCCTGCCCACAGCTTTGACCACAAGCCGCAAAATGGTGGATATGTGGCTCCACTCCTCACGATCGCTACACTTCCCTTAGAATGGAGACCACCAACTTTTGTTGGACGCCTCCTCCCTAGCAGCCTGCTTGATTCGTCAAATTGAGGTTCTTCTTCTTACCCATAATTCCCTCTGTTGATGGCATCTATCATATCCCCATTGATGAGGCAAGCGTGGTTTTCACAGGACCATCGCCCATTTCCTTCGCAAGTGCTGAGAAGAGAAGACATGGGAAACGTTAGATATACGAAGCTATGGAAGGGTGGTGAGCTAGTAGCCAAAGGCAGATACTTCCAGAAGTCTAGATCCAGCAGTGGCCTGCGAGGTGGTGTGGAACTGCCCTCCTGACACCAGCTTTGCTGACACTTACCTGAATGCAGTGAGCTTGGGCAGAATGATGATGCCATTGGGGCTGTGCTGGCCCACTGGCAGAGCCAATCCAACACTGGTGTGCCCAAGCAACTTCAACCTTGCCGCCAACCTGCTTTACACCAGAGCTTGCCAATGCATTGCGTGAAGGTGCCATAGCACCCACCAAGGTCTTCCCTGGCAAACCACCTTGCAGGTTAAACTGAGGAACTCATCAGTGAGCAGTATGGAATTCTTCATGTTTGTTACAAAGGACTAGTGAGCTCTAAGCTTTGTGGAACCAGGTGCAGATCACCTGAGGATCAAATTCATAACAGTACAAAGGAGATAAGTGATGAGCCAGGATGGACCACAGCACAGATATAACAGAGGCAGTTCTGACTTCTATAGGAACCTGGGAAGCTGCCTTAAACTGAGTCAGAACATCAAGCTCAGTGTTGCCTACACGGATTGGCAGTGACTCTCCAGGGTTTAAGATAGAGGATATTCTCAGCCCTGCCTGGAGACACCAGGGATTGAATCTGGGACACTTTGCAGGCAAAGAAGATGCTCCACCATTTAACTACAGCCTTGCCATTTACCTTCCCACACAAGACTTTCCCCCCATCATCTTGGCCCTCTTTGCTACTGCCTTTGAAGGTGCTCCAGCGTGACTACATCCAAATTCAAAGTGCAGAATTTACAAAAAGACACAGAGCTCCAAGTGAGATCCGACTAGAGCTAAGAGCTTTATTTACTTATTGGAACTGGCTCCTTTATTAAAGAAAGCTTGAGATTCTGAGGATGCTGAAAGTAAAAGGGCTGTAGCTCGGTGGCAGGACATCTGCTTTGCATGCAGAATGTCCCAGGTTAAATTCCCAGGATCTGCAGGTGGAGCTGGGGGAGACCACTCTGAAATCCTGGAAAGCCACTGTTAGACAATTGAGTTGGATGGACACAATGGTCTGACTTGATATAAGGCACCAAAAACCTGTGTGTGTGTGTGTGTGTGTGTGTGTGTGTGTGCACGCGCGCACACATGCTCTTAGACCAAGCTCCCCCTGCACATGGTCTATGGCCAGGCCTTCTGCAAGCACATTGCTAGCACAAGGTGCCCTAATCCTTTCCATGAAGCCTTCAGGAAACACGGTGGCCTTGCTGACGAGGAGCCAATTCCAACATTAGCTATGCTTCATAGAACGCTTGGCATTTTCTCTCAGCCAAAAGGCACTTTAAAAAGCAACAACAATCCTTTCCCCCACCCCCTTCCCCATCCTGAAGGCAGAAAAGGTTTTGTCCTTTTACGGACCTGCCTGGCAGCAACACTCTCCCCTTAGAGTCTGCATCCTGCCAGGGCCTACTGAGCAGTTAACTGGAGCTCAGTCGGGACTCTTTGTTTTACCCTCATCTTCCCTTTGCCTTTCAGACCACAAGGAAAGCTTTGTTGCTGGATCTGGTCAAAGGTCCATCGAGTCCAGCACCATGGTGAACATAAGAACAAAAGGAAAAAAGAGTCTGCTAGATCAGGCCAATGGCCCATCTAGTTCAGGATCCTATTCTTGGAGCGGCCAACAAGATGCCCATGGGAAGCCTAGAAACAGGACCTGAGCACAATTCTGACTCCCAGCAACTGGTATTCAGAAGCATTACTGCCTCCAACCATGGAGACAGAGGCTAATAGCCACTAATAGCTTTCTCCTCCATGAATTTGTCTAATTCTCTTTTAAAGCCATCCTAGTTGGTGGTTATCACTGTCTCCTGGTGGAGTGAGTTCCATAGCTTAACCATGCTCTGTGTGTATTGTGTTTACACTAAATAATAATAATAATAATAATAATAATAATAATAATAGTTGTTGTTGTTGCTTTATTTGCATCAGGCCCTTCTGACTCTGTTGCCCCAGCCACTCTGGGTGGCTTCCAACAAATACATAAGCATAATCAAGCATCGTCATTCATCCAGCTTATTTCAACGCATTTCCCTGTCACTTTCCTAACTGCAAAAGTCCATACAAGTTTTTAAAGCAGATTTGTTGTGGTGAGGATTTGTTAGGCAGTGCAAACTGAAAGCTCTAGCATGCGCTCAGATTCCTTCTGCCAAATGCTGACGGCCTGAAGGGAACCTTTGGCAGCAAGACTTTGACTGAAAAAAATGCTTCTGTGATCAAAGAGCCCAACTTACCAGAAGTTGCAGTTATCTCTGTAGGTTGAGCCTGTTGGGAACTTGTGTCCATTACGGATGCAGGCTGGAAAAGAGGGAACAAGGAGAAAACTGGGATGGGAAACTGAGTGCATATGGATCCATATAGATAGCAAGAAGGCTTACATTTTGGTAGAGGGGCTCAACCGCCCAATATCAGGATTCAGAGCAATATTCTGTACAACTGTTTACTGCTGTGGATGCTGGGAAAGCAATATTTAGTTAGGCTGATTGCTTGTACTAAAAGCACAGATGTCATGCTTATATTGCATTATATTTATTGTACACTTGTATTTGAATTTATCATACTCTATTGTATTTTTCTTTTCTATTTTGTCCATCACTTTGGGGGCATTTGGGCCAAAAAGCAGTATGTATGTATGTATGTATGTATGTATGTGTGTGTGTACACACACACACACACACACACACACACACACCCCAGCCATAACCAATAGGAACCAACAATGGGGGATAGACTCCTGATTGCTGGGAATCTCTCTCCAGCTTTTGGAATGCAACCCCCATCAGAGTTTGGGAAGGCAAGACTCTGCTCCAGCTAGTGGGAAGGGCAGCAGAGAAATGGTTTGGGAACCAGTTGCGCAGTTTCAAACCAGCTAAAACAGATAGAGAAGAAAGAGAAAGAGCTTAGAGCACTGCTTGGGTGTAGCTGCTGGTGTTTATGGGCATCTATTAACCCCTGCCATGCTCTGATTGTATATTGTAAGCACATCAAATATTACAAAAGACATCATTAAGCCTTCAGGGCTTTATCATCCAAGCTAAACCCTGTAGCTCATTTCTTGTAACTTCTCACTAAAACATAATAAGGCATGCTGGGGGAACCGACACACTGATGTAGCCTGGCTTAATTACGTACCACTCCCTGGTTCTGGAGCAACAATAACTTACTGTTTAGAAGCTTCTCTCCCTCCATAAATGTACATGGAAAGTATGGGATAAATTCTACCCTTTTAACCTTTCCAGAGTACAAAAGGCTGGTTGAAGCTCGCAAAGGTTGAACTGTATAAAATCTCACTGTGTTCAGTAGAGTTCACACTCCTGTGCTGAGGATTTGGATCGAGAGCTCAGGGTCAAAGTTTGATTAATTAATTCAAGGCTGGAGCGTGTTTCAAATGCCATTTTCCAAGTCGGGCTTGGAAAATGTGAAGGGAGGGGCAAACCCTAGCTCTTAAGAAGATAGGAAGAGCCTGCTAGTGGCCCATTGGAGTCCAGAATGTACAGAACTTTCTTAGTTGTGTAGGGAGAGGCAAGAGGAAGGTTTCAGGCATGTAATTCTGCTCCATGAACCCTGAAACTCCTGTGCAGTTACCCCTCTGCCTTCTGAGAAGTCAGTTTCAAGAAGATATGTGTTACCTGTTGGCAGTAATGTACAGAAACATAAGAATATACAAAGAGCCCTGCTGGACCAGGCCAAGGACCTCTTCTCACAGTTGCCAATCAGATGCCTACAGGGAGCCTGCAAGCAGGACCTGAGGGTAGCAGCACTCGCTGAGCCTGCAGCTTCCAGAAATTGGTATTCAGAGGCATGCTGCCTCTGACAGTGGAGGTGGAACAATGTGAATGTGATAATGCATGATCTTGTGGCAGTAACAGAAGGTGGTGTTCCTGAGCAGCTTGCAAGTCAGGAAGCCTCGTTTGAGAAGGTTGTCTCTGCCATGAACTCAGCAGCATCCCCAATGCCCTGGAGAATGGCTATCTCTCAGTGTAGGCAGTACTGTACTAGAGGGGTCAATGACCAGAAGGCAGGACATCTGGTTTGCAAATCATTTATTATTATAATTATGATTCACTTTAGGGAGAGCTTGGGATGTCCCTTGTCTATAACCCTGACAGCCATTGCCAGTCAGTGAGGATGAGGCTGAGCTAGATGGACCAATGATCTGGCTCAGCATTAGGTTGCCTCCTACGTCTCAGGATAAGGTACCTCCCAATGTGAAAAATAGCAATAAACATGACAATTTATCTGAGTATGCCCAAAGTGCTTTTTTCCCACCACTGGGGGCGGGGAAGGTGAAATAGTCCATGCACACCAAAACTTGAGAGTGTGGAATTGGTTTCCCGGCTAGGGTTTAGCACTGCTCTTTTTAGAAATTAACTGCTTGGAGTGGGGAGAAAATTTAGCCCAAAATGAAAATTTCTATTTCCCCTTTGGATTCAGCTTTGATGGGGTTAAATGTCTTATTTCAGAGGGAAGCCAGAGCCCTGAGGGAAGCTGAAGGCATTCCCCACCATCAGCCCTTCTATGAGGCGCTCAAGAGAAAGGCGCCTATTGTTTTAAGCAAGGATGGAAGGGGAAATCACATTTTCCTTAAAGGGGGTCAAGGGGATTTTGCAGCTGCTGCGGAAGTATCCCTACTGGGACTCTGGGGACTGCGATTGTGCCAAGGGCATATTTGCATGACACATCTAGTAGAGGCAGATTTAAGGACCCAAACACTGACGTCTTCAGCATGTGGGGTGAAGTGAATGGGAGAATCCCAATACAGTGGTACCTCGGGTTACATACGCTTCAGGTTACAGACTCCGCTAACCCAGAAATAGTACCTCGGGTTAAGAACTTTGCTTCAGGATGAGAACAGAAATTGTGCTCCGGCGGCACAGCAGCAGCGGGAGGCCCCATTAGCTAAAGTGGTGCTTCAGGTTAAGAACAGTTTCAGGTTAAGAACGGACCTCCGGAATGAATTAAGTACTTAACCCGAGGTACCACTGTAATAATAAATCCACACATTTAATCATAAGGTTGGTCTTTCCCAGATCAATCCAAGGGCCCAGTGTAACATTACAACAACAGCATCCTAATTATTTTATCTGTAAGCCTCCTTGAGTCCCAGTCTGGGGAAAAGGTAGGATGATGATGATCATGATCATGATCATGGTGATTTGGCCCCAACATTGGGCACTCCAAAATGCACTGCCTCTTCTCTGGCTATCTTCTCCAATGTGGTGGTGCTGGTGGAGCCTGAAGAGAGCTGTGGACCAAAATATCTAGAGGGCATTTGGTTGATGAATGTGGCTTATCCCCTTCCAGGAATTTGTCTCTAATTCTGTATTGAAGTCACCCAAAGTAAAAAAGTCATTACTACATCTTGTGGCAATGAGTTCTGCAAATTAAATGCAGGTTGCAAGAAGAAGTGCTGCTTTCTATGCCGGCTTCCACAGCAGACATTTACCATAGAATTGTTGTTCTTCATCATTTTTTTACAAGGCATCTACACGATGTCATTATCAAAGCACTGCCAGCCTGTGTTTCCCCTGTGCTCTGTTTTCTGCAGCATTTTTTTCAGACTGCAGGAAATCCAGTTTGGGGAGGAAGGATCAGAAGAGTAGCAAGAACTCAGCCTGTCTCATCAACAACTACTGGGCACGGTTTGGATGCGTTTAGTGATGAACTGGGCAGGAGAGTTTATCACCATGCCCCTAAACTTTGGCACACCTCCAATAGGCACCATTCTATCCATGTGCTTATTTCTTTAAGCAATCTTGGGTAGTGCTAGGAACCAACAGCCTGCCTGCTGTGACTTTCCTGCTGATCTGTTTCTACAATCTATAGTATTAACACAGAGGAAGAGAAAACGAAAACACACACAAATGCAACCATTCATAATTGTCCAGCACACACAGCCACTTATGCCCACAGACCCTTATCTGCACAAGTCACAAACACCTATCTCAAAACATCTAACCTCCTAAACAACTTTTCTCAACCCTGTGCCCTCCAGGTGACTTGGACTACAACTCCCATCAGCACCCCAAGCAGTGTGGCCAAAGTCTGCAAAGCAGCCCACATCTGTACCCCCCTCCTCTCCCCTCAGACTCACCTCCATTGTTATATATACCTACCCACCGGTCAGGCAATCCACCCGCAAGTAACCTACCTTTCTGCACAGCAAACGGAGGTTCGATGCCCAAACAGTACTCCCAGAAATCGGGGCAGCAGTCAGAGACAGTGCGGTTGCAGAAGAGGTCGCAGTAGCAGATGGTGTCCAGGTATGGCACTGTGCAGCCATCATCCCTCCCAGGACAGCAAGCATTACGGCGTTCGCAGTAAGAGCCTCCTGCGTCCCGGATCCCGCGTTCATGCAATCCTGGGGCCAGCTCCCTCCGCGTACGAGATGCCCGGAGAACAAGGGCCTCTTCTGCCAACAGCACTGTGGCCAAGAGAGTCCAGAAGGCCTTCATTCTTCTGTTTGATCTTCTGGGATCTGCAGGTCCTGGAGAACAATGAAAAGATGGAGAATCACACAGAGGAATAGATCTCCCTTTTACACTATGTGGAGCTTGGTTGGATACATACCAACTTGTGCACCCCGTAAAATGATGCTCAAAGTGATTTACAATACAAAACAAAAACATAAAAAATTAAAGTGACCTGTTCAGTGCAATAACATCAAGGACAATACTTTCCCCCAGAAGAATAGTGTTTCCGGAACTCTGACCCAAATCCTCCAACAGAGCACCCCAAAGTGCAGTCGCAATCATGCCCCTGAAGGCAGACACTCACAGCAGGCACCAGCAGCCCTTCCCATTGATGGTCTCCCTTGGGTTGCTCTGCACCCTGCCTGGCCTGACAGTCAATCCCCTCCATGAAACATGCAGGAATGTGCAGGAACCGCGGGAGCAATTTTGCAGGGGAGGGCGGGCAGTGTTCAACATTCAAATGTTTTGCCCAACAGGATCCCTCACTTCAGCTGGCAACTCGAGAGATCCTCTAAAGAAATCCCACAGGTCTTGCCAGCATGCTCTGGGCTTCCCTCACTAGAAGATGGTGTTCAGCTTGACCTTCAGGTATCCAGGAGCACAGGGCTGGCCAGAGCACAGTAATCGTGTCTCTTACATCCTGGCTGGCCAGAGCACAGTAATCGTGTCTCTCTTATATCTGTCCCAGCCATTTTCCCTGAGCCCAGGCTTTCCTAGCCAGGAATGTAACTCGGGACATTTTCCTGTTTACGCTGCCTTCAGGATGGAAAAAGAAAGCAAAAGGGTACAGCCTTGAACTCATGAACTGAGCAGCAAATGAGGAGGGGAGAGCACTGGGCGTTCTTCCAGGCTGGCTTTTACTGCAGGACAGAGACACCTCATTTTTACACCATCCTCAAAACATGATGCCAGCCTGAATTCCAGGCCCCCCCCCCCACCTCCAATTTAATTCAGATTTAATGAATTTCTGGGGGTAATCTGATAAGGGTATTTTTTTCCCCTCAAGATACCTGTTGCCAATGATACATTTGGAATATGAAGCTAGAACTCCAAAGGAACTGTTTCTGAACTGTGATTGAAGTTTAAAGTTTCTCAAAAAAGAAATTGGAGGAAGGATGAGCCCCCTCACCTCTCATGTTAGAAAGACTGGGTGCTGGTGTCTGCTGTGCCCCCTAGCCCTGGAAGAGGAAGACATCCTCCTTCTCTGGCATCTCCCCTGTGTCCTCCCATCTCATGGCCACCTGGGATTAAGAAGGCACCTTCTATGATCTCAGACTTCAGCAATGCAATAAGTTTTCTACTCTCAGCAGCAGCAATCTCAAGAGGAGGGCGGCTCAAGGTCAGAAGGCAAGGAAGGAATCTGGGCCTCTCCCCCCACCCCACACCTCTGCCTTGCTCTTCCAGATGCTAGGAAGTAGTGGGGCGTCATTTTGATTAACTGTCGCCTTCTGACCTCAGTCGGCAAAGTCCACGGAAACACACCGGGTGGCTCATCAATCTGAGGAGGTGGAGCGTTCAAGAACGGCTCTCATCTCGTGCAAGGCAGGGAATCTGGGCTTGCGACTGTTGGTGTGTGGCTTATCTCCCTTTGAACTGTGGTGCTTGTTATGTGACTGTACAACTATGGAAGTTTTCCAGCCCAGAGCCGGCGGCATTTCAAATGGAAGAGGATTTTTTTTTTAATTGAGTTCTTTTTTTCTTTTTTGGTTTTTTTGTTTTGTTTTTTTGTTTTTGTTTTAGTAGTGATGGGAAAAGATCTCCAAAAGACATAACTGCAAAACAGGAGAACTTTGTGCCCACTTTACAAGGGCACAGTTTACACAGTACACATAACACCATCTGCAACAGTTCCAGTCAATTCCACATCCCTCCTAGCGACACGGGATGAGTGGCACCCACACCCTAGTTCCCCACCCCAAACACAAACATTAGCAGCATGTTCTAAATTTCGCAGACAGTTATTAAATATAACCTTTCCTGGTGCACCTTTATTTAAACACATTGCTGATAAGGGAGTCCACACAAACACTCGGGACTGGGGGCCTTCCCTGGCAATCGGAACACTCCCCTCTGCTCAGACAAAACTCTTCTTCACTAAGTAAACACGGGAAGGAGAAAGAACACTTATATGTTCAAGCCCGCCCCCCCCCAAATACCCTTTCATTGGGGACTTCTTAAACGACATCAATTAGAATAGAACTAGAATAGAATAATTAGGGTTTCTTAAACCAGAATCCCACCCTTTATTTTGTGATGCTCCAGGCTCCCCTTTCCTTCCCCAGTTGCCTTAGATGTGTGGGAGGCTTGGGGGAGGGGATGGTAGAGAGAATATGTAGTAAAAAAATTCCTTCTCACTTAGCAAGTTCTTTATATGGATCTTTTAAGAGATCTCCAGGATATCTGTCTAACTCATTGCATTTTTATCCCACCCTTCTTCCAAAAAAGCTCAAGTGGTGTACATAGCTCTCTTCTGCTTCAATCCTTACAACAATCCTGTGAGGTAGGCTAGGTGGGCCCAAAGCCAACCAGTGATCTTTGTGGCTGGACAAGGATTTGAACCCAGCTCTCCTCAGTCTGACACTAACCATGACAGCACCCTGGTTTTCTTGATCCACAGACTTCTGCACCCTGACCATTGTTTAGGAAGCTTTTAGATGACAGAACCCAAGGTGGCATGCCTATGGTTCCAAGGTGGTCAGCCACCAAGGCATTGACTAGACCCAGAGCTGCTTAGCTTCAGCAAGGTACCCTGGAACTTGATCCCAGGGATGTGCAACCCAGATGTTGTTGCACTCTGATCTGGAACCTTGATATAAATATGCTTAGCATTTTCCTTTGCAGCTTCAATTATATTATAATTGCCTAACAATTGACCACTCGATTGTTGCTCTCACCTCTGCATGTAAGCATGGTTTTAGTAAGTTGGCAACCCTAGTAAGCAGAAGCACCAAGGCCAACTTGTGCATTTGGCAACCTAGCAAATCAATGACATTCATGCACATGATACATTCACATATAATACTTTTTTAAAAAAACCATACACCAATCCTCTTTATTCCATTCTATCCTGCATTCCCCACCCCCTCACCCCAATTTTTCTGTGATAGAACTTTCGGGTGGTCAGTCAGATATGATGGGAGTTGGAGTCTGGAGGGCCACGAAGGAACATAGACCAAATCACACCTTTGTCCACCTAGCTCAGTATTGCACACACTGGCTGGCAGCTCTCTTCAGACAGGGGACATCCCCAGCCCTGTGTAGAGATGCTGCGGGGTTGCGGTTGAACCCAAGACATTCTGCATGCAAAGCAGATGCTCTCCCCACGGAGTTACAGCCCTGTACCCCACACGTTTCCCCATCCCTGCCCTACTCCACGTTTCACACCTGGCCGTGTAACACTTACCCCACCAGCTTCCCAGGTTCAGAGGAGCCTCAACAGGAGAACAGCCTCGCCTTCCTGCCCCGGTGATGCTCAGGCTCTGGCCAAGTTGGATCGCTTTTCACCCGGAGAGGAGCAGCCGAAGGGAAGGGCGGCGGCATACCAGAGAGGCTGATCTCCTGAAGAATCAGCCGCGCAGGAGAAGGCGCGGGCTTCGTGGACCTGAAGGGGGTGTGAGCTGCAGCTCTGGCGCTCGCAGGCAGGCAGGCAGGCAGGCAGGCAGCCGTTGCTCCTCGCCGAGGAAAAGTCCCTGGCAGGGGCGGCAGGGGCGGGCGGACGTCTCTCTCGCACTGCTGACCGGAGATTCAAGCGCCTCTTATGTACGCTTCCCAGCCCACCGGCTCCCTCGATCCAGTCCCGGCAACCAAGCCTGCCGCCTGCCTCTCCGACCCGCCCAGCTTTACGCAGGGGCAGCGCGGAGGACCCTTCTGGGGTGGGGCGTGCAGTGGTAGTTTTTCCTAGTGGTGAGAGACGCAGCGCTAGGAAGGGACATTCCCCTTCCCTTCCTCGCTTTCTTTTTTTAAACGGTCGGCTTTTATCTGCTTTTAAAGCCTCTTTTTATCGTTATTTTTAATGAATATTTTATCCTGTTATGTAAGCAACTTAGAGCTAGTTGTTGACTAAGCGTAATACAGTTGATTGTTTTTTAAAAAATAATAATAAAAATAATAATAATAATTCATTCATTCAACGATTTCTCAAAGAAATTCTCCAAGCGGTGTTGTGCAAGTCTGGTTTTACGCAAAGCAGTACGAAAATATACAAACCAACTAGAAGCAGATAGAATCACTGAAAACAGTTATAAAATCAGTAAAACTTTAAAGCAAAGTATACCTAAAATATGCAGCTGAGTGGGTTTGCTGAAACAGAAAAGTTTTCAGCAGGCAGCTAAAACAGTATGGTGAGCGCACCTGCCTCACGTCAACAGGCAGGGAGTTCCAGACTTGCTAAATAAATACTCATTCTTTTATATGAACATTTCCTCTCACTTGCACCTCTGTTGGGGATCTAAGCATGGCATAAGCACCACACTAAAATAAATAGCAGCTTTAAAACAACAACAAATAAACACAAGGTTCTAGTCCCTGTGACTGCAAACATGAGAGGGAGTCCTCTTTGAATTTCAAAAGCAAGCATGAATAAAGGCTGAATCAAATCTATAGGCAGCCAGGGTGGTGTCTAATAAATATAAATAAATATTGCTGGACTTTCACAGTTCCAGTCATCTCTGACCATTGGGCATGCTGGCTAGGGCATGATAGGAATGCAGCAGTATCTGGAAGGCCACAGATTACCTTCTTCTCTTTGGAGTGTTGGGTTTAAACCTTGGAGATCCCAGTGCACACCCCTGCATAGCCAGAAAACTTTCTTGGTGAACTCAGAACAAAACCTTGACAGATTGTTGTATAGTGTTGGAATGGGAGCAGGGAGTCCTGAGTTCAAATCTCTGCGTAGCCATGAAGCTCACCAGTCGATCTTGGGCAAGTCACCCCTTCAACCCAACGTACCTCACAATATTGTTGTGAGAAGAGGGCATGGAGGGTATGCTAAAAATGCTTTCAAGTACTAAAGATCCCCAGTGGTCCCATGGAGAGATTGGGGTTGTTGTTTTTAGTACCCTGTCCCTACTAAGGACATTTAGTTTGGAAGATCAATAAATGATTATTCACTTAACAGCAGCTTTCCTTCTGTCATGGAAGAAGTCAGACCCACCTAAATCAGAAATCTGATGGATAAAAATTGGGGGCATTGTCTAGATGATAAAATTAACAAATATAATTCTGGTTTGGGAAGGTGGGCAAAGGGATAACAAAATATTATTTAAATATCCACCTGGAATAAATGAACACACAGTGCAGTAAATCCTTATGTGGTCTTGAGGGAGGGAGAGAAAACGGGGGAAAAAATTAATGTGGGAATGACAGCTTAACAACTGATTTGGTGACTTTAATAATTATCTGCTAAAGGAAAGAAATGAAATGTTAAAAATTGCTTATGTGTTTGCATCTATTATGATGCTCATTGAACTCAGTGGAGGCTGGTCCATGAGGTTAAATGGGCAGAATCCAACCAGGCTCAGTCAACTCCTGCCTGTTACTTGCCTGCCATCTTACATACAATGACTCTGGGGGTGGGTCTGCCTACAGGTGTACTTAGGGGTTGGTGAAATCAGCCCCCTCCAGGGTTGCAGGCCTTTGAGGGGTGGGTATATGACATATATGTGTTTGTTGAAATGCCCCTGCTGTTGTGGCAAGATCAAACACAGGAGAGTCCTCCTACCACGGTACAAAGGCATGTGATTTTTTTCACTCTTCCTCCTCACTTTGCCCACAATCCAGACACTTAGAATACTTGGGTCATGTAAAATGCAATCACATCTAATGTGGCTATTTGGTTTTTTGTGGGTGGGGCAGGGATGCTGATACAGCTTCTTGACAAGGGTGCAAGGAACCTTAGGTAAGCCTCTGGTTCTGCTCGCCATTGGCTCTGGTTCAGCCTCATGTTGGTCTCCCTGCCTTTCCACTCCACCAGCCACCTCTGGCTGGAGATGATTTTGTACAACACTTGGCACATGCAAGAGGCTGGGCTGTGGTTGTGCCAAGGAAAAAAAATTAGCCACAGTGGTTGGGCATGCTGCCAACTGTGACCTCAGGATGCTGGCAAGAAAAGAGATGGGAATTAAGCCAGGCTGCCACTGTCTGTGGCTGGCTGGGATGGAAAGGCGGTCGTGAGGAGGAAGGCTTAGCTGGAGCCACAGACCCACCTGAACTCAGCCTACTTTAAAAAATAGAAATCTAAGCTTCTGATAGCTGAGACACGCCTTTCTGAATTGAAATATGGAGCACATTTCATCCCACATCTGAAAAGGGTTCCTTTGGAGGCATATGAAGCCAAATATAAAACATGAGCCACCCACAAAGAAGTCCAGCTTTTGTGTTTCTGCATGAGTCTCTGTTCTGGCCCTCATTGGAAGGAGGCCAACCTGGAGCAGAGATTCACCCAGGGGAGCAATGAGAGCTGAGATGAAACATCTCCCAAAATAACTTGAGAAATTCCTTTTTTGGAATCCCTCTGAACTGTTGGTGGAATGGGAATTTTCCTGCCTGTGAATAGGGTGGAAACCTCTAAGGACCATTGTGGATCCAACCCATGGTACTGTTATGAGTTTTGGGTGCCAGGATGTATGGGTGTCAGACACCCATAATTTCTAGGTTTAGTAAGTGTTAGAATACAATCAATGCTTGGCAAGTTAAACTGGAAGGCACACTCTTAATAGCTGGACTGAGTTTCCCCCTGATCATGGCTGAGTTGTTAAGCAAGCAAAGACAAGATCACCCATCAAGAAAGCCACCAACAAGGCTAAGACACTATGCCACATGCAGAGGGGTGGGGGTCCCACTCTGATCTCTGAATTAGCTGGAAGAACAAAGGCCAGTAGCAGAGTTTGAGGTTAGCAGTTTTTGCCGGAGGAAAATCAGATCAGTCTGTAAGCAATGGAGAAGCAACACAGGCAATTACCTAGTGAAGGGTTAGGAGTGATGCAACGTAGATGTAAAGGAGCAAGTTGGAGAGAGGGTCAGAGCAAGACAGTTGATTTCTATTTTAATCGAAGGCTGTGGCTGTGGGAGAAACATGCTGTGAGCCCCTCCATTGTAGGCTCATGTTATATATATGTGCAAATAAACCATATATCCCAAAGACACCACCATCTCCACTGTGCCTCATTTCCAAACACAACCCCTGGCTAAGTGCCTGAACCCCTATAATCTCACACTGCTGTGGAGATTGGGGGTGGCATGTTAACATTGTGAAAGGAAGCATTAATGAGCTGGGCCCCTCTTCCTTCTAGCCCTTCTCTCATAGCCTATTGATTCCTGCCTCCATCTCCATGAACTAACAATACAGTATATTTCGGGTGAGAAGTTGGACTGAAATTTCGCCAAGGAGAATTTTCTGAAATTTTATTTTCTGATTCCAGCCCCGCACTAAATAAAACACACAGCAACAACAACCTGTTCTAAAATTATACTTCTCTGGAGAATATTTGGAGAATTTCCCCCACAGTTTTGCCACCCACGGATACAGTGGGGTCATTTTACTTAGAACTGGATGCAATGGGCAGTTTCTTATGTGTGTGTGGAGGGAGAGGTCAGTTCACACACAATTGAAGGAGTATTTGAAGATTTATGGAGCTATACAAACTAGCTCTGAAACATGCATGAAGTCCCTTCATATGGTGCCTGAACATGCAAATGATGTGTGGCTGTTGCATGGTGTGCCATGGTAGGAGTGCCTAACCCACCTCATGAATTCTTTCAATGCTTTGGGGGATTGTCTGAACCCTCTTTGGTCACCCCTCTCTGCCTCAGGAGTGAGCACCTTACCCAATCTCATCTACTGAAAGCTGCAGCACAATGATTTCTGAGTTAATTCAGGGTGAGCTTTGAAATAATAACACCATCATCAACAACAATTTATTTATATGCCACCCATCTGAGTGGGTTACCTCAGCCACTCTGGGAAGCTTCCAACAAATGAAAAAGCTCATTCATCTCTCATGTTGCCATTAGCCAGTAGCCACCAACCCATTTCAGCAAGCATCTTCTAACCATCAGTTCCCAGTGTAAGTCTTTTTCTTGGGTATTAGCAATACGTACACCTGGAAAGGGAGTGTTCTCTTCACAAGAGGACATTATCAGTAAGAAGATACAGAGGCCTGGAAGGAGGTGAGCGTTGGAGCTTGGTTGCTGCTGATTTTGAACAAACCACTTGCTCAAAAAGGTCCTACCCAGAGTAGACCCAGTGAAATTAGTGGACATGACTAACTTAGGTCCATTCATTTCAGTGGGTCTACTTTGAGAAGGACTAGCATTGGCTATAACCCAGCAAGCTGCCTTTTACAAAGTTTTCTCTCATCTCCCCCTGTCCTCTTTGGCAGTTGGGGGCCTCTGCCTTTGCCTCAAGGCTTGCTCTGGGATTGACCTGCCAGCGTCCCATTACACAACCCCAAGTGGCAGGACTCTGCACAACGGGGTTCCTGTTGCACAACCATGTGTCATGATCCCTTGCACAAGTGGGGTGGGGGCGGAATAAGAGGAACTGAAAGCATCTTGGAAAGGCAAGGGGGATAGCATTGGACCCTCTTCCAAGACAAGGGCAGAGGAAGTGAAAATCTGGGTCTGAATCACTTTAGCACCAACGTCCCTCAAGCAAAGTGCTGAAAGGTTAGGAAATGTGGAGGGAACATCACTGAGTCACCCCAGGGCTGTGACCTTGAAGTCAGGTGGGGACAAATATGCTGAAGCAAACCCCATCCATCCACACAGTGTGCGTCACTTCATTTCTGCAGAAAAAAATGCCAGCAGTCATCCCCACGACAGGCAGGACCACTTCCCCTCAAATTTTGCATCTATAATTAAAATAGAAATGCATTCATCTCAGCATGCTGGGGGAGGCAGTGACCAGGTGAGCTGTGTGCCTTCATCAGCCTGCTGCCTCTCAGGTGCTGCTCACTGTCAAGGGGCAAAAT